AGAGATGTACTGTTTTGTTGATTGGCTGGCCTTGTCCTCACGAGAGGCGCCATCACGATCGGGTTGGGAATTTGAGTTTCGATTGGAGGGTTGTGTTCGTATTATTATTTGTGACTCATAGGAACAAGAATCGTCTAATTCCGAGTTCGTATGATGGAGTTAGAGCCATTTTAGTAAAAAATGGTTGTGCTGCAAATTTCTTAAAAGTTGCTGTATTTTCTGCAGCAGTGAACAGTACACGCGCGTGAACAGTAACCGTGCAGGTGAATAGTGACCTCACGCGCATGAACAGTGCCCCCGCGTGAACAGTACCGAAAATTTCTGGACAGATTTAATGTCCAGCAGTCCGAGTTTGGTCATTTTTTTTGACTTCCAAGCTCGGATTTTGGGCGATTTTTAGCAAGAAATCTTGGGAAATCTTGAGGTAATCACTTGTGATTATTTCTACTCCATAATATTTTATTATCATCGAATAATCCGACTAGATTACATGTTTTTGANTTTTCTCCCTTATCTTTGTTATTTATGATAATTCCAGACTTTGTAAAATATTAGTAAACTCTGTAGTAGCTCATGACTTGTGACACCCCGATTTCGGGCTGAGTTGGGAGGGTTTTCCTTGTTCTATCACGTTTATTTCGCATTTAAGATTATATTGCCCATGATTTAGACTTATTCCTGCTAAGTAATTATAAAGAGATGTAATGTTTTGTTGATTGGCTGGCCTTGTCCTCACGAGAGGCGCCATCACGACCGGATTGGGATTTTGGGTCGTGACACATGCATGTACTATAGAGAATATTTCTCTAGCTTATCTTCAATTGTAACCATGGAAAGCCTAAATTATCACTTCTGGTGGCCATAGGCATATACCACTTCTGGTGGTTAACAAAAATTTAGTTACAATGAGATATACGAAACATAACCATTTCTGGTGGTTGTATATTTCTTGCAAACTCTGCTGGAGTATAAGTGAATCTAACAATGTCATCTACTTTATAGTTTCCTATGCAATATTACTCTTCTGGAGTAAAATTAAAATCTTAATTTGAAAACAAGTAAGTGAAAAACATAACATAAAGATATACAAATTATAGTGTTTTAAAATTCATAAAATGCTCCAGAATCTCGTCCAATGATTATGGCTCGCTTACTAGGTTCCTAAGTACCTTTTTTATTTTATTTTAATGGTAGTAGCATACATAGCAAGTAAAACGCATAACTTATCTTTGATGGTGTCTGCTAGACCCATCATATCAAGATGAATTTCAGTATCAAGCACCCAAGACACTTAGTTTTTGCCCGATATATCCAATACTACAAATTCACATTTAGAAAGATTTGACATTATTTATAAAAAGAAAGTTCGTACCTTTGATACTTTCAAAGTATTTGCTCGAGATGGCAGAGTCTTGTGCTGATAACGTGTTATAAAATAAAAACTTTAAAGTAAAGAAACCGAAGACAAGTAGAGAGAGAGATTTATTATTTAACTTCAAATTCATGTACATAATGAACTGAAATCTCCTCTATTTATAGAAGAAAGAAAGCTGTTGTGTAAGCTGCTACTGCAAGCTGCTGTGTAAGCTGCTTGTAAGCTACTACTGCAAGCTGTTGTGTAAGCTGCTTGTAAGTTGCTACTGCAAGCTGCTGTATAAGCTTCTTGTAAGTTGCTACTGTACCAGATATAGATAATCTTCTGCCGTGGGTAATATTTATCCATAACGGAGTACCGAAATGATAAGCTTCTTCAGGAAGCTTATTTCCAATAGAGTACTAAATAGATAACTATATTTACGGCGGAGTCTCATATGGATAAGTTTCTTCAGGAAACTTATTTACAACGGAGTACTAAATGAACATCCATAATATATATATATATATATATATAACACAAATTAAGTATTTCTACATAGCTCCAAAATCCAGTAAAATGGTGACGCTAATAGCTTAGAAGCTGAAAAATAGAAAAACAAAAAAATAATTCAATATTGTAGAACTAGTACAAGTAAAGAAATGTCATAAATGGTTGGTCATTTGATCTAGATTTCTTCAGAAGGCAATTTGTAGTAATGTTAGGGTCGCATACAAGAAAGGTCAATTGAGCAAGATGTGGACTGAAAAGTCAAATCATTCCCTTTGCTTGTCAACGCACACCTTGTATTATAAGCACAAGCATGGGCCGAGCTAGTTCGTCCGAATCTCTTTGCCGAAAATTATACTATAAATAGAAGGTTTAAAATATTTTTTATAAATATTAAATCCTCTTAACTTCTTGACGTATCTTTTTTTTATATTTTGAATCTCCTCGAAGGAGATGCCGCTAATTTTCATGGGACAGCCGGGAACGATGACCCTTCTCAAGCCTCTCGGCAAAAACATTAGTTCTGCCACTGGCCACAGGGTGAATGAGGTTTTTACGGAAAAAAGTTTTTTACAAATTCCAGGAAGCAGACCTTTGACCGGCACACCAAAAGTAGTTTTTCTATCCGTGCAAAGGTTTCTTCTTGGGACGTCAGCTCGGTTGCATAGTGGGTAGGGGCTGGTAATAACTTTTACTTTATAATACCTTAAAGGGGTCGTTTGGTATAAGGTATAACAAGGTATAAGGGTGATATAAAAATTTAATAACATCTTAATATTCTGTTTGGTTAGCAAACTAGGTATAAATTATCTCGGTGTTAATTTTAACACCGGAATAACTTATACCTTATAGAAGGTGGGATAATTAGCACCGGTATAACTTATATCTTTTTCTTAAAAATTGTGCAATTATTATTCTTAATACAACATATCAAATAATGAATAAATAACAATCTCATTATAACTTATACCGCCATAACTTATATCGGTATAAATCGTATTCCAACCACAGGACTCCTAAAACAATTAGAAGGTGGCGTAGTGAGATTTCACAAACTAGCACAATCTAGAGAAATCATTTTTCTACATAGTCACTGTCTGTTGGACCCACCAAATTAGCTAATCAACGTAGTCACCAAGTAATTTAATACGTTCTGTCCACCTTACTAGCAGACAATCTTGGCAACCACTTTTGAACCACACTTATGTGTGGTCTTCAGAGAAACATACAAAATTCTAAACATGCGCTTGACTTTTAACAAGAACAACAACAACGACCCAGTATAATCCCACAAGTGGGGTCTGGGGAGGATAATATGTACGCAGACCTTACCCCTACCCCGAAGGGTAGAGAAGCTGTTTCCAGGAGACCCTCGGCTCAAAAAAGCAACAGGAGCCGATATATTAGTACCATAAAAATGCATAATAAAATACCAGCAATATAAGAGATATGAAATACAGAATACGAAATATGAAATAGGTGGTTTGTATAGTACAACTAGCAAGTAAAGCCCTGCATCAATAGACGACCAATGACATTCTTAGTCTAACTCTTAACTGGTTAGTCTCACTCTATTGTGCTATAGAAATATTCACAAGTTTCCCCTAACCTACAACCTTAATGTTCGACCTCCATAATTCCCTGTCAAGGGCCATGTCCTCAGTAATATCCCCTATCTGACTTTTAACAGATAGTAAAATATAGCAGAGGAATCATTCCGGTAGCTAATGCCAATCCTATCCCACCAGCTTTCAAGTAAACAATAATGTCAAAGTCTATCCATCCTACTGACTTTTGCAGCAGCCTTTAACGCGTGAAATCATCAATGACCAAAGAAATGATACTGAAGTTGTTTACCAGATCCAGAAATAGTAAATCTTTGGAAAACACTGGAAATAGCTTGAAACAGAGTCAAACAATCAAATAGATATGGTTGCATCCAAAACAGCAACCTAGACAAACACCAAGAGGTAGAAAGACCCACTAAAACTCCTCAGAATAGCATACAAAAGCTCCACCACTGATAAAGATTTCAGCTTTTCACTAAGAGAACTGGAGCAGAGATTGATACGAGATGGGGAAGATTGGTTGCACCATAGATGGCAACCTAGATGACTCAAAATTCAGCGAGCCAATGCCATGGATCGGTATGTATGTAGCAGCAGCATCTGCAGCTTGTGCGCTTGCTATGGCAATGGATACCCTTCATGGCCTACGCCGTAGAATATTCTGGTTTCCTTGCTACTACTTCTCTCTCAATGCTACAACCTTGACACTTCTAGCTGTCGCCACCAAGTTGTCTGTTGATCTAAATACCTCCATGCCTCGTCGCCAAGATCAGCTGACAAAACTTAGCAGTGCTACTCTAATCTGTACGGTAATTGCTAATTTTATACCTTCTTTAGGACTCATGGAGAACAAAGAGCTCTTGATGAACATGATGGCTTTGGGAATTATCGTCATCACAGCCATCGTCAACATTGGCATACAATTAGCTACAGGTGTAATCTATGTTTTCTGCAAAGAGCATATAGCACTCATGTTTCTTATGCTTGTTTTGCTTCTGCAACTGATCTCCTCAGCTGTGGCAATACCAACTACAAAGTGTTACTTGGACCTGAAATATAACAAGAAATACAAGTTAGCAAACAAAGAATGCGGCATCACCTATAAATGCACAACTGAGAAACTGAAGGATGAGCTGATGAAATTCTGGACCATGGCCTATACCTCTAGCCCCCACTTCGTGGCGGGGCGCTTAGCAACATGCACTGCATCTGGAGGTTTCTGCCTTCTGAGCACAGTAATTTATGCTGAAGCCATGCTTAGGTCTTACTTTCTCCATCGGAGCTTCAACTTTTGTAGTGGAGACTCTGAATACAAGTGGTCCACAACCTTGATTCTTGTAACTCAGACTGTGGCAATAGGAGTAGGAACTATTGCACCAGCTTTTAGATGGTTCATAGCCATAAATTATCGCTGCCCCAAAAAAACAAATAATGCCTGCAAAGCCAAGTTGTTCAAAGTGGAGAACTACTGGATCCGTATCCTGCTTCAGTGGAAAGAATCCCCGTTGGATTTCAGAATTTGTGGCCGGCATGGTAGAAAATTTGCTCATAAAACAAAGAACAGACTTCTAGATTTCTGTATTTGGATGCAAATTATGATGGTGTCACTCAGTAAGCTAGTTCGGCTCATTTCCACTTTCTCTGTAAGTTGGTTATTGATAAGCTGTCGGAAGGCAATCAGGATGCTGAAATGCAACAATATGGTGTCTAGTCATGATATAGAGACGCAAGCCAGTCTAAAGCCAGATCTTAGCCACTATGTTTTACATCTTGAAGGTGAGGAAGCATTAATTGACTTGATGATGCAAAGCAACCGAGATGTGGTAGGTCACTGGATCGGGATGGGGAAAAAGGAGCAGCCTAAACATCTTATACAACTTCTGGAGAAGGTGAAGTCATCACCTGGATTCAGGGGAGTGTATGGATTTGACCATGCTCAAATTCCTTCTTTAGATTCGGAAGAACCTCCTAATTGCTGGGCTCTTCCCGTAGTGACACTGACAAGCATTGCAATTGCACTTCCAGACATTGATTTCCACTCAATCAAGGAATTAATAAGGTGTGTGTATGAAGGTCTCACGTACATCAAAGTTGTGGAAGAGAACCTGGATGCTGGAAAAGACCTATCATACATCAGGAAAGCGGCAGAGTTGGTGTGGGTAGGAGTTGACTTATGTTACAAGTGGCTGGATGTCGATCTCCGCACGACAGCCACTGAAGGACAAAATCCAAAAGACGTGCTTGAAGGACTCTCTGAGAAATCAAAGCAAATATTCATCGAATTTAGAAAGAAAGATTTGAATGCTTGTTTAAAGGAATCACCCTCAAGATGGCCTACCAATATGTTGGCAGCAAACTGTATGTACAGAGTATGTGAAACACTTCTTCAAAATTCTGATAGGAAAGAGTTAGATAACAGCAAAATCATGTTTGACAAATTGTCATCCATGATCGTGGATATAACAGGCGCTTGTCTTACCAACCTACAAAGAGTTATATCCATGCAATGCCACCATAGCACCATTGAAGAGAGAGCAAAAGGTGTCCGTTCTGCCATCTTACTTCTGGGAAAAGCAGAGAGTATTCTGGAAATTCTTCGTTCACAGCCACTTCCAAACTCAGCACCAGATAAATTGGCAAAAGTTGATCATTGGCGTACACATAGCAAAGAGGTAGACTACCTCTCCTGCAGTAGTAATTCACCCTCAAATTGTACTCCAACTTCCCAAAGTTCATCTGACTTGTATCTAACAGTGGACTAAGAAGCAAACACCTGAAAGGGAAAAGGAAAAAAAGACAGGTTAAAGCCTATTATAATTTTGAGCAGCTGGCAGGACTGGAAGATGCGGAAGAAGCAAAAACAAATTTGGAAGATTCTGGATATGGTTAGAGAGATATCACAGGTGTTTCAAGGGAAAAGAGGAAACTGTCGCTTTTGTCAAAAATAAACGAATTCAGAACTTGAATTTTGCGCAACGCTTCTTTTGTAAATGATATTGATATGACGCTAGACTCCATGTAATCTTACAGTCATAAAGGACTCATGTCTAGCGAGCTTTCGTATTATGAATAAATTTACTTATTTCTTTCTTACATAAAATAAAAATAAAATAAAAAAGTATGGCTTCACATGTCTGTTGACCACCCAAAAAATTTCATTCATTCGCACTCTTGTACCTGCACTGATGGATGGGAAAAGATCGTATTGTATCCCTTCAGTAACATATTATAGAAGGACTTTACAGTAAATTGTTCGTTGCTCGGATCTTTCCACCTCAACATGTCCTGATCTGTACTGGTGATGCCTTGCTTGTACAGTAGAAGCTACAGAAAGTTCTGGAACTCCTCAAGTTCCCAGTGCTGTCGAACAGAGCTCCCCCTTCTTCGTATACTTGTATCAAGGCGAGATCTTTTGACTGGATATTAAAAAGAATGCCAGGAAAGTTCTAAACGAGGCATCATATCTCAAGTATCTTTGTTTCCATAAGTCGGTCCTAGCTCCATTTCCCAACTTAATATCTGATGGTGCTATCAAATTCCTCCCTTACCTTCATGAGTCCCTTCCACAAGTCTTCCTCCCTTACCAATTCCATGGAAAGCAAGTCGGTTATCCAACTACTATGAACTTGATATGCTACAGAGAATAAACCCAGCTCCGACTACACAAAATGTCTAAGTAAAGACAATTGTATGACCGAACCAGTTACATCTGAAATATTGAGATCACTAAAAGAAATATTGCTCCTTTATCCCACATTCGCACTGATCAACCTGTCAATGGATTTAGATACCCACTGTTAAATCAAGATACCTCTGGGTAGAGATTATTAAGCCAGTAAATGATTAAGATAAGACTTCAGCTACGCAGTGGAATTCAAATCAATTATGACTTTTCACAATGAGGCAATAGCTTGATGATGAAGATAAGAGTATCGTGTTAAATAATAATTTAATGCAGGAAAATATCCTCCTATCTGAAAGCACTACCAANCCCTTTACTCAAAGCTGAAGATCCACATCACAATGCGAGCACCAAAAAGACCAAGAAACAACAGACTCAGTAGCGCATAACTGGAGACTGACCTTTGCAAATGTAATTCTCTATTACGGTCACTGTGTGGTCTACCCCTCCGTCCAACAAACAAAATCAAGCTGGCGTGGTAAACAAAAGAAACAAGAAGATAAATAGAGAGAATACCAATGTAGATGAGCACTTTTATGTGGCTATCAACGATGCAGAATTGAATATTTATCAGGTTTCCAGAACCAAGAGGCCCCATCAGTTGGATCGTTGAAGAACATAACCATCTTGAGTAACACTGGAGCACACTTTACACACTTAAATAAAGATTGCATGTACCTTAATTGAGAACTTCCATAAGAACAGCAGTTCACCGAAAGCCGAGAGAGACACGAAAAGAAAATGTCCGTGCTCTGCATCTTTGCCAACAGACACAAAAGCATGAAACTTATTCCGTTAGAACCACATGCACCCTTGAGTCAGATCTTAAATAAACAACCATGTATCCTTGACAACTGAGACCACACGTAGGAAGAAATCCACCAATCCAAGCAAGCGTCCAAAAAAATCAAGATAAAATAAGACATTAATGCAAGCAATAAAACAATATTAGCACATAAGAAGAGAGGCAAGAAATCAAAAGGTTCTAGCTGTGCCCTGTTTGTGCCAAATTGGAATCTTAAGGGACAAGGGGTTATTCCTCAAATATGCAAAATAATTTTCTATTCCTTCAAGCTCTTATTTCTTCCATACAATCCACATGAGTTCTAGTGGGGCAACATCCCACACCTTCTGTCTTCTCTTTCTTCTAAATGTCTAGGTGAACAGTGCTTCCTTCACGGTGCGTGGCATCATCCATTGAAGCCCGAACTATCTAAAGGTTTTCCATCACAAGCAAGATACTACCTCACTATGTAAATGGTGGTGGTCCACGTCTTCGCCCAAACTCTTACACATAAAACCCCAACTGATATATGTAATCCTCCTGTTCCTCAAGTTTTTAGCTGTCAAAATCTCTCTTTCACTGCCAGCCAAGTGAAAAAACACACCTTCTTAGCGCTCTGGGTCTCTGAATTGATTGGTGTGGGAAGGCTGATTCCTGAAAACTCCTTTAGTACTACCAGCCAGGCTCTCACAAACTGAATGCAGAAATAACTCTCAAGTGCATCAGAAATAGCTCTCTCATTGTAAAACTAGTTTCACACATGGACAGCTAATAAGTGGCTGGCAATGCCTAAATCAGATCTGAGAATCATTTTCAGTAAAACCTTCGCAACTTTTTCAACCAAAGGATTAATAAGCTTGCCAAAGTATCTGACACCAATTAGTACTGAAAAGTAAATTAAGCTTAAGTTACACTCAGCCCTTCATAAAATCAACTCTTTCCTGCACAGAATATTGTCTTTTAAACTAGTAAACAACCATTCAACCAAACCTTAACAGTGATTTAATGCTCGATGACATGGATACTAAAATCAATCTTAATGTGTGCAAATGCATCAATACCGAACAAAGATGTCCAGAGAAATTACTATCTGTTTCCTTCACTGCTTCATAACGTAAATTGTTTCAACAGCCGCTCATTCTTTCTTGGTCGGGACTGGTTGCATATCTGAAACACTTGTTAGGTATTGGTGCATATGTTTTCTGCTTAATCTCCAATGAAGAAAAAATTGTTTCATTGAAATCCTGAAAATTAATGCTCAGAACAGATATCTAAATGAGGTAAAAGATTATGAATTACATCTGCATGACTTAGGTATCACTCACTGCGCAAAGATAAAAGACATTCTATCACTTTGCACTTCTATGCTGATATAGGCTGTTAGAGGTACCAATGGAGAATGAGCTCTTTCTGCTGTCAGCAACAATTGCAGTATATAAGCAGGATGTAGGCTTAGGTAAACATCTGGTGACAGTTTGCTAGCATCATACATATTGAACTGCTCATAAACAGATGAAGTTCCTTGGACCAGTGGTAAATAGCAAATCTTTTGATTTGTTTTTGTTATATTGTGTTGGAAATCATCAGTTTGACAAGAATGTCTCATTACAGCAGGTATCTGTCTCATTGTACATGTGATGTAACCTTGCAATTCCTCTTTATCCCTTTGGCAAGTCGTGCTAATTCCAGTATACTTTGAGATTCGGCTGTTAACATGAGATAGATAGGTTCATTAAATTCAAGAACATTCTCACATTTTACTGATCTCCTTCTCACCACTGGATTTATTAATCATTGGACAATTCCCATCTTAAAGTTATCCTTCCCTTAACAGTTAACACTTTAAAAGTATTGATCAACTATACCTCAATCTCAAATTAATTCGGAAAAACTATATATATTTCTATTCATCACAATTCGTCCTATTCCATCTCATATTATTCTTTTAAATGCACATATTAAAAGTAATAAAAGGAACATCAAACTCCAAGTCACAATTGGCTAAACAAAATAATTGAAAACAAAAATTCATTCCAACTTTCATTGATGAATCGTATAAACAAAAACAATGAAAATTCAGCAAATTCTTCGAATTTCCAAAACTAAACCCTCCCAAAAAAAAATCTAATTTGACAAGCCCTTCCCAATCCCCGCCATAGAGGTTACAATAGTTAAAAAGTCAAAATACTAAGCACCTGTGTTCTTAAAAAACGACGCCGTAAAGAACCGCTTACAAATCTTCATCATCTGCCCTGTTTTTGGGTTTACGATAATTCTCTTCAAGATGCTTGGCGATGACAAGGCCAGTGTTAACGAGCTTCTGGATATTGGGGACGTTGTAGTTTTGGGCCAAGTACACTCCGAAACCCGTACCCACAACGAACGAGAATGTGCTTTTGAAAAATCCCATTGAATTGAAGATCCAATTATTTGCTAATTGCTGAGGTTTAGGGTTTTTATGGAGAGATTGATGAAAGGGAAATTATAAAGGTTTGTGTTTGAGATTTGGCCCCTTCTCCAAGGTTCTTTGCTTCCATACTTGCGGAGGTGGAAATGTGGGACCCAATCTGAGTTTTGATGGACTACTTCAAGGGATCAGTCCAGAAACTTCATGGGCTTTGCAGCCCAGTAACTCTGAGACTTTAAGGTTTGGCAGTTTTCGGACTGGTCATTCAAAAATAGCGAGTGTTTATGAAGTCAATGAAAAATAGTAACTATTTTGCTGTAATAGAGACCGGTCTAGCATAATATACTGGAGTTCAGTGCACCTGTGTATGAACTCCAGCATATTATGCTGGACCGGTATACTTTGCTGACTCCAGTATATTAGTATAATATACTGGAGACTGGAGCACCTGTGCTCCAAACTCCAGTATATTATACTGGACAATTATACTTGTTGGAACTTCAATATATTATGTTGGAGTTATAGTGTACTTATGCTGGAACTCCATCATATTATGCTGGAGTTCCAACATACTTATCCTGGAACTCCAGTATAATATGCTGGAGTTCAAGCATACTTATGCTGGAACTCCAATATAATATACTGGCGTATTTTTCGGGTTTTGAACAGTGTTTTCGCTCACATTTATCTTTACATGAAAAGTGGCTAAATTTCTATTACTTTTGAAACTGGGCTATTTTTGAACGACCAGTTGTAAATCTGGCTATTTTTGAATTTCTCCCTATATCTTGAGAAATTTTCATAAATCACTATCTTTTAGTGGTAATTAGCTATCTATAGATACCATTTGCTATATTACGGATTGTAGATACGTTTTCTGTTGTTATAAGATGTATTTAAGCTACCGTATTCATGAATATAGTAGCAAAAATAGGCGTGAATCAGGGAAGTCTGGCTAATCAGTTGTTGTATTTGAGTGTATTCGACTGTATTCATGGCGTGAAACATGGAATTACAACTGGACAAATTATTGTATTCGACTGTATTCACGGCGTGAAACAGGGGATTACGCTGTTTTTAAACGAAAAGTGAATCAATTAACATAATAGACTCCTAATATAACTCAACAAACTCAATTATAACTAGCAAAATTTGTATTTCCAGTTATAAAAAAGATTCTCAACCGAAAAATATCCCAAAAATATAGCAATCTTCAGAGAAATTATATAATACATCTGAATACATAAATTATATTAATTAAAAATATATATGAATATATTCATGGCATATAGCGAGACAGTGAATACAATGAAATACATAGAATACAGCGGGATACATTGAAATACAATGGAAAAAAAGATAGTGAATACAATGAAATACATGAAATACACTGAAATACATTGAATTATAATAAAAAAAAGAAATAAACAAAAAAAAGTGCTACTGTGAATAGTACCACCGTCACTATTCAAGCGCCATAACTCCGGCGTCCGGCTGTGTAATTTCACAAATTTGGTGTCAAAAGAAGTATCTACTCTTTGCGCACAATCCCTAATTGGTTTCATTCTCAAATCTATAGCCAATTGTTACAGATCTTAAATTTTATTTCGCGATTACTGTTGCGATTACTGTAGCGCGAAGAATTCTTACTTAGATTCATCTGTTTCTTCACGTCAATGGAGCTTTGAGGAACTTCATGGATGCTGCGACCTCTCCCCAGCCTTTGGCTGTGGGAGAGGCAATCCAAAACACCATAGAAACCCATCTAAATCGTAATACAAAACAATCGTATGCAACGCAGCTTGTAGGGAAACAATTTGCCGCAAAACTGTCCAAACTGGAGATTTGTCCAGTAACGTTTGAACATGGTGAACCTACTGTGGAATTCACCATTGAAGAGGTGAACCCTTTCACAATGGAAGAAGGTTTACATCAAGCTGTAATCCTTAAATTTTCGTATGGGAAACCTGATCTACAGGAACTACGACAGGTTATTTCCAAACAATTTGATGTCAAAGGCTACTGTAATGTTGGACAACTGGAATATCGACATATACTGGTTAGGTTTGATTTGTTTGAAAATTTTGTTCAAGCTCTGTCAAGATCGACTGGTTATATTAAGGCAAAGAGTGATGAGTTCTTTTTTAGAACATTCCCATGGATAATAGGCTTTAATCCGCGTGAAGAAACATCGAGGGCAGTCGTATGGATTTTTTTACCTGACTTGCCTGCAAATTTCTTTGCAAAAAGGTCATTAATGTCCATCGCCTCAGCAGTTGGAAAGCCTTTAGCAGCGGACAAAGCAACGCAAGATCGAACGCGACCAAGTACGACAAGGGTTAAGGTCTTGCTCGATTTACTGGACAAGCATCCTAAGAGAATTAAGATTCATATTGTGGATAGGAATTCTGGGATCAGGAGATAGTATATGATAATCTTCCAAAATATTGTACCTGTTGTAAGCATCAAGGGCACGATGAAAGATCATGCCGTTGGAAGACTATGAAAAATAAGGAAGATGTAGTTGTTGCGGATGAAACTGAAGGTCTGGGCAATCTGAACAAATTGCAAGGTGATGCCAGGGATTTTCTTAATGCAAAAAAGGCTGGGCAGCTGGAAGATGAAGCAGCAAAAGCAAGTTTGGTTGAGCAGAAGGTTTCACAAATTGAAGGAAGAAAACAAATTGTGAACAAAAACAACGAGGTGGTAATAAATCGAGCAGCTATGGATAAAAGAGATATTACTAAGGATACTCATGATGTAGTTGTAGCTGGGCAGAGTAGCTCCCACCCAGTCTCTTTGGAAGCTACTGCTGATCGACCTAAAAAAGAAAAAATAGCTAAGGCATTTGGTGTTACTGGGCTAACTTTTGAAATGGGTGCTACTACTGCATCTGGTGTTGCAGCACTGTTTCATCAGGGAACTGTTCAGGTAGGTGATAATTCAAAGATTGATAAGGGTCCTCCTAGACCTACAAGAGATGTTCCTGCTAAAACGGCTTTAGCAACAATTCTCAAAGCAGTAAATCCAGTGGTTCAAGCTTATGATAAGTTGCATTCTTCTAATGATGCAACTGTTGCGTCAACTGCTGCAAATTTAATGGAAGCTGTAACTGAAGGTGAGGTCCATATGTTAGGCAGTAAACTACCTGGGCAAAGCCCAGCACCAGTGATCACTGGGGTGTCAACTGCTGCAGGCCTAAAGGTTGCTATTGATCGAGATTATGCACCTGTTAAGGATACTAATGCAGCATCTGATCGAAGAGTGTCTTCAGGCGTTAAAGCCAACAATGTAGAGGCTAATCTGTCAAATAGGTTAGCTGAAAGCGAGCAGGGGACTCTGGTTCAACAGGATGCTAAGGACCAGACTTTAGGCGTTAAAAAGACTGGGCAAAAGGGTGTAGATATGGAAGTTAACACTACTAAATCAGTTAGTGAAGGTAATGGCAATAATACAAACACAAAAGAGGGGGTTTGGAACGTGATTTCAGCACGAAAATCACCTACGAAACAAGTGGTGTCACACAGTCAAAAATCAGAAAATGTTCGACCAAACGCATCAAACTTTGTGACCAGCCAAAATTCATACGAGGTTCTTGTTGATGCTGGGGATTTTGAAGTTGATGCTACATGTTTAAATGATAATGTGATGTCCAACAACTAGTTCCAATAGACAGCAATGAACGAGGAGGGCAAGGCAGTGTTGAACTGGCAAAAAATTTTGGTGTTCGGCAAAAAGACTCAACGAACAATTTGGGGGCTGAACTAACGGGCAACCAAGCTCATAGTTCCAATGCACCTTTGTTGCATTTTTCCAATCCTTGTGTTGAGCAAATCATCAAAAATGCCCAGAATGAAATGATGATGAACTCTACTTTGGTTAAACAACCATTGGTTACATTGAACACGTCCGTCTTTGACGTACCATCACAATCGTTGGAATCTTGTGGCGAACATGGTGGATCCAAGCTCTGGGATGACCAACCTGAGTATGATGATGAAGAAGATTTGGGTGTTGATGTTGCGGAGGAGTCTTCTGATGAAGGTGAGAGATGTAGTGGTGATGAAGAGATGTTATTAGTAGGATCACCATCCTTTCCAAAAATTGTAAGTTCTTCTAAGTTAGGACCAGGAAACAAGATTAATGCTCAAGCTCAAGATTTTATTCCTAAGTCTAGGCAGCAACTAAGACAAATGGAAAAACTTTGCAAATATTTCTAGTAACAAATCAGCCTGGGCAGCAGCAGATATTATCGAGCAGTACAACTACTATTCTTCCAGTAATAAATAAGCCTGGAAAGCAGCAACAGCAGTTGAATGCAAGCAATCCTGGAGCAAAGTCGACTGGGCAGCATCAGTTTGCAAACAAGTCTGGAGCAAAGTCGACTGGGAAGCATCAGTTTGCAAACAAGTCTGGAGCAAAGTCGACCGGGCAGCAACAAATTTTTAAGACCAATTCAGCTGCTATTTGTGTGACTGATCAATATGCAGTAATAGTAGGAAATCATGAACAGCAGCAACTTTATGTAAACAATTCAGGAGATGTTGTAACACTCACAACTGGTGGACAGCAGCAGCAGGATATAAGGCCAACAACCATCACATTGGAGGACAAAAACTTGCTCGATGCATTGCAACTGCAGCAGCACGAACGTCAGTAGTATAAATTGGCATCGACTTTGTCAATTGCTGGACAGCAACAACAAATTGCAAGCACTTCAACTGCTTTAGCATTACCTTTAACAGATGCAAAGCAATAGCAGGACACAGCTCCAGCAGCAATGACAACTTCTGGACAGCAGCAGCGAAATGACATAAAAAGGAACTGAAGCCAACTCGATTGTAGTGCTAGCCGCAAATCAATCTGGGCAGCAGCAGCTTGATCCAAACAATTCACCTGTTATCCATACTTATGGTCGAAAAGCAACAACAATGTCAAAATTGGCATCGACCTTGTCAACGGCTGGACAACACCAACTTATTCCAGCTGCTAGTCCTACACGTGATCGAAAAGTCACAGCAGTAACATCTGGACAGAAGCAAATTGTTACAACCATTCAAGCTATGTCAGAGGATGAGAAAATGTTTTTGGATGCAATGCTAAGTTCCAATTGTCCTGTGAGTAAGAGCAATGCACAGGGACAATCTGCA